GGAAGGAAGGAAGGAGGGAGAGACCTGGCAGGGAGCTGCTGGAATGATCAGGTAAGTAGTAAGGGGGACCTGACTCAGGGCGGTGGCAGTGGATTTGGGCAGACTGAATCGTGGTTGTCAGGGAAAAGGGAGAGAATGAAAATGGTTCTGGTCCTTCTACCCTAAGGGTAGGTGGGGAGAGGGCAGTGGGAGCTGGACCACCCGTATCCCCATGGTGACCAGGCCGTTCTACCTGTGATCCCTCATCCATCCTTTTTCTTTTTCTTCTTTTTTTAAAATTCATGCAGTGACACAATCTCGGCTCACTGCAGCCGTGACTTCACGGGCTCAAGTGATCCTTCTACTTCAGCCTCCTGAGTAGCTGGGACTACAGGCACTCACTACCATGCCTGGCTAATAGTTTTGTATTTGTAGAGATGCCTTGTTGTCCAGACTGGTCTTGAACTCCTATGCTCAAGTGACCCCCCTGCCTCAGCCTCCCAGAGTGCTGGGATTACAGCACCAGCCTCATCCTTTTTTTCCCCCTTTTCTATATGTTTATTTTTGAGACCGAGTCTCACTCTGTTGCCCAGCCTGAAGTGCAGTGGCATGATCTCGGCTCATGGCAACCTCGACCTCCTGAACTCAGGTGATCCTCTTGCCTCAGCCTCCCAAGTAGCTGGGACTACAGGCATGTGCCACCATGCTTGGCTAATTTTCTTTCTTTCTTTCTTCTTTCCTCTTTCTTTTTTTTTTTTTTTTTTTTTGTAGAGACAGGGTTTTGCCACATTGCCCAGGCTGGTCTTGAACTCCTGGCCTCAAGAGATATGCACACCTCAGCCTCCCAAAATGCTGGGATTACAGGCATGAACAACTGTACCTGGCCACCCCATCCTTTTCCTTAGGGGAGCATATGGAGGCCCCTAAGAGGTAGAAGGTGCTGTTAAGGACCAGGACAAGGCAGAGGGGAGGAGAAGGGGAAGTTGGGTCAGAGTCCAGATGTGATGAGGCTTCAGGGAAAGTGGTATCTGGGGCTTCCTCAGAGCCTGGAAATTCTACTGTTTCTGGTTTCACTCTGAGACCCCCAAATCCTAAGATGCTCAAACCCTGATGCCCAGTCCGTGTAAGTCCTGGGGGCCCTCTAGGAGATGTGACTCTGTAGCTGAAGTCCACAATCCCCTGACAAGTCCCAAGATGATGAGTAGGATTCATTTTTTTTTTTTTTTCTTTTTGAGACAGGGTTTCACTCTTGTTACCCAGGTTGGGGTGCAATGGCACGATCTCGGCTCACCGCAACCTCCACCTCCTGGGTTCAGGCAATTCTCCTGCCTCAGCCTCCTGAGTAGCTGGGATTACAGGCATGCCCCACCATGCCCAGCTAATTTTTTGTATTTTTAGTAGAGACGGGGTTTCACCATGTTGACCAGGATGGTCTCGATCTCTTGACCTCGTGATCCACCCGCCTCGGCCTCCCAAAGTGCTGGGATTACAGGCTTGAGCCACCGCGCCCGGCCTAGATGAGTAGGATTCTTGACCATCCCTAATGTCAGTGTGCACTTTGGTTGAGGCAGTCCCCACACCTGCTACCTGCATAATCCCATGTCATCCTCACATAATCCTTGGAGGCATGTAGCTTATTTAGCCTCATGGTACCTATGAGACTTCAAGGGGTTAAGGAACTTGCTCAAATTCACACGGCTAGGATGAGGCAGAGTGAGGATTTGAACCAAGGTTTGACTGCCATCAGAGTCTGTGCTTTTAACTCCTGTGCTATATTAAGCCTGGCGACCCCCCTGGTTGATTGGCTCAGGAAGAGGAGGAGGATTTGTGGGGGATTTGCTTGTGGTTGGGGTGGCTGTCCCCCTCTCATATCAAGTGATGGGAAAGGGTAGCACTGACGTCAATTATTGCCATGGTGATACAGCAACCCTTTCCCTGCTGTCTCCATGGTAACCTGGGGGGTCCATCTGTACTTCGCCCCCTCCTTCTAAAAGGGGGTCCCTTAGGGAGGGGCTGGCTAATAAGGTGTCTGAGAAAGAAGTCAGGGAAGGCAGTGATTCGAGCATCCCCCTTTGCCTGGCCCCTCCCCATTCCTCAGGCCCAGAGAATAAGGCTGCGATCTGCATTGGGTCCTGCACTGGGGTCTGCGGACAGATGTACCCTTTAGGGTGAGGGAGGCAGCTCTGTCTTTTCCACCTGGGGATTCCCCTGGAAATTCCCCTGCCCTCAAACTCCCACCTAGTTCTTAGGCTCCTGAACAGAACTGCTAGGAAGTTGGTAGAGAGAGAGGCAAGAGGGTTTCCTCAGCCCCCTTCAGAGCTGGACATCACCCAACTCCTGGGGACAGTGTCTTTGGCTGTCTGGCTCTCTGCTGCCCCTTGAAGATAATGGTAGGAGCAGCAGCCCTAGCAGTCTTTCTTATCAAGTGGTAGCTGTGGCAGTGATTCCTGTGTGGTGGACACACAGGTCCTTACTGAAACTTACCAGCAGGTGTCATTAACCCCATTTTACAGATTTGAAGATGGAGGCCCGGAAGGGGTAATTAACTAGCTCAAGACTGCACAGTTAGAAAAACGGCAGAGTCAGGATTTGAACTCAGCTCCAGTTTCGGCCGGTGGCTTTTCCCAGGAGAAGGAGTAAGAAGAAATAGAGAACAGGATGAAGAGAAGAGAAATAGGAGAGTGAAGTGACCCAGGTAGGAGCCTGTTGTACTCTGCCTGCCTGCAGAACAAAGTTCAAACTCCTTCACCTGGTATGCAAAGGTCTCCTTGATCCAGCTTCTCTTCTGTTAACTCATTCCTGGATCCCTTGCCTTCTAAGCTCTGCAAGGGAAAATGATGTCAGATTCAGACCTGGGTTCTCTGTACCAGGCATGGCCCAGGTAGGTGTTGTTAAAGCTGATTGAACTGAGTTGTTTTTTTTTTTTTTTTTCCGAGACGGAGTTTCGCTCTTGTTACCCAGGCTGGAGTGCAATGGCACGATCTCGGCTCACCACATCCTCCGCCTCCCGGGTTCAGGCAATTCTCCTGCCTCAGCCTCCTGAGTAGCTGGGATTACAGGCACGCGCCACCATGCCCAGCTAATTTTTTGTATTTCTAGTAGAGACGGGGTTTCACCATGTTGACCAGGATGGTCTCGATCTCTTGACCTCGTGATCCACCTGCCTCGGCCTCCCAATGTGCTGGGATTACAGGCGTGAGCCACCGCGCCTAGCTCAAATGAGTTTCTTGAACCAGTCCTTCACTTTCCTGCCTCCAGGCCTTTACCCACAATGCTCCCTCCCCAATGGGAATGCCCTTCCCCTTGCGTATGGACATTCTAGAGCTAACTAGCCCCATTGGCAAGGGCTGTGTCTGGAATCTTTGCATCCCTCACAAATCAAGCACATGGAAGGTGGCAGTAACTGGTTTCTAAATTTTTTTAGAGATAGGATCTCACTCTGTTGCTCAGGCTGGAATGCAGTAGTGTGACTTCGTCTCATTGCAGCCTTGAACTCCTGGGCTCAAGCAATCCTCCTGCCTCAGGCTCCCCAGTAACTAGGACTACAGGCACATACCACCATATCTGGTTTTTGTTTTGTTTTGAAAGATGGGATCTTGCTGTTTTCCATGCTGGTCTTGAACTCCTGGGCTCAAGTGATCCTCCTGCCTCAGCCTCCCAAAGTGCTGGAATTACAGGCCTGAGTCTATTCTTTTTTTTTTTTTTTTTTTTTTTTTTTTTTTTTTTTTTTAAAGGAAAAGAGGGTTGAGAGAAGAGAAAGGAAGTGGGAAAGACGGAGGGAAAAAAAGGAAGACTGAAGGATTCAGCATTTGGGGGCTGGCAGAGTCCAAAGAGACCAGCTGATGCCCCCTCCCCCCTCCCTTTTTTTTTTTAAAAAAAAAAGCAGTGAGGAAATAGGCCCTTTTAGTAAGCCTCCTACATGGGGACTGCCTGGGAGAGCATTTTATGTGGAAACAGAAGGGTATCCCTTCTGGGTGACTGTGGAATTCTAAGGTGCTCTAGGGAGAGGCTGGACTTCTCTACCCCATGAGGATTAGAGGAGGGTGTTGAATCAATTCTCCTTAGATGTCAGGGGACAGGAGACTGACCCTGACCTTTAGGTTACACTACCCCCATAAAAACAAAATTGTAAAGTAGAATATACGGGCTCATTAAAGCAAAATTGGAAAGTAGAAAATAGTTGCTTAGCTTAAATACTAGCACTTCCGGGTAGAGTTCCTGTCATGGGCCCCTGGAGGGTGGATCTTAAGGCATGTGGTCTGAAGATGCTTGGGAGTGTGCTAGCGTCACCTCTCATCAGGGGACCTTGGGCAAGTCTCAAAAAGGCTCATTTCACTCATCTGTAAAACAGGAAGTTAAACCACCGTTTTTCAAATGGCCTCTTCCCCAATCTTTTTGTGATCCCTTCGGTCGTCGGAGAAACCAAGGCTCAGAATGGACTGGGGCAGCTCCAAACCCCTCCAACAAGGAAGGCCCCAGGCGCCCAGGGCCGAAAAGAGCATGTCGCAGAACCTTCTCGCTGGAGAGGATTAAAATGGGCCTGGTCGGGCGCCTGTGGTCCCAGCTACTGGGGAGGCTGAGGTAGAAGAATCGCTTGAACCTCTGCCTCTGGGAGGCAGAGGTTGCAGTGAGCCGAGATCGCGCCTCTACACTCCATCTCAAAAAAAATAAAGAACAAAAAACGCCTGGTATGGGTGGCCATTGGCTGTATCCTGTTACTTCTCGGTCCACCTCTCCTCCCCATCCTGTTCCCCGCCTCTGGGTTGCCGGCATCCCCCACAGTGATGTGAGTTTCACCGGAGAAGGGGTCAGAGAGATGGACAAGGGCAGGGCCCAGGGTAAAGGCTGCCCAGGGAGGGTCAGGACCAGCAAGAAGTGGGAGGAGGGAAGTGTCGCAGGTTGAAAGGTGGAAGGGCGGGCCTCTAGGGCTGGGTCCAGGTGAGGAGGCCGCAGAAGGGAAAGTGTTACTGGGCAGAGCAGCTGGTGGACCCGACGGATAGACATACACTGCCAGCCTGAAGTGGAAAGAACAGTTTATGCTGTGCTTTATTAAAATGTGCATCATTCTTTTATTTTAAAATGTGCATCATTGTCTCGTGCTCGGCGCGTGCGACCTCAGCGTGGTGGCCCGCGGCGGGCCTCGTTCCCGCCCGGCTCCCGTGGAGCCGCAATACACTCACGTGGCGCGGGCCCGGGGGCTCCCGCCCATGGCCAGGTAGACGTCGATGGGCACGTGCAGCAGCGTCAGGCAGTGGCAGCCGGGGCAGCGTCGAAGCGGCCTGGGGAAAGCGGGGCGTGACAGGGGGGCGCTGAGGCGGAGGCCCGGCCCATCCTGTGGGGGAGCATCCAGGTAGTTCACCTGGGGTCCCCCGGGGACCGGGACGTGGATGTGGGGACCTTGCCGCTAGGGGCGCCATGTAGGACAGAGAGCGGGGCCGCGGGGCGGGCCTCACCTGACCGGGTTGTGCTCCGTCGCTACCGCCTCCGGGCTGTCTTGGGATTCGGGGGCGGCGGCAAGGCCACGGGAGTCTCCGGCCTCAATGGGGAATCTCCGACCCTGCGGGGGCTCCTGGGCGCTCATGTCCAGGCCCCGGGACGCTCTGCGCGAGGAGTGGCGGTCAGGCCTCTCCCGGGCCGCCGGGCGCCCCCGCCTCGCGCCCTCCCCCTGGGCCGTCGCTCACCTGCCGGAGGCGGAGGCCGGTCCCAGGCTGGAAGCAGCTGCCCGAGCCCTGGCCACGGGAGAACGCTCCGGTCCAAGCGGAGCCGGGCAGGTGTCTGTGGCGCGCCTGGGCCCTGGCGTCGAGGAGGGCAGCATTGTGACCCGGGCCACGGCGCGCTGACCTCACAGAGCCCGTTTCTCCAGCTAGGGAACCCCCAACGGCGCCCCCGGCCGCCCCAGGCACTTAGCGCAGGTTGGAGCCGGGAACTGGAGGGCTTTGGCCGTGGCGCCTGGAGACGGGGTCGCGTAGACCCCAGCTATCCGAGTGGGGCGCAGGAGGCCAGGGCAACCCGCCGCGAGACGGCGTCCACGGCTAGGATACGGACATCCCCGGGCCACACGGACGCCGCGGAACGCCCTCCTAGCTGGGGGCTATGACCCAGTGCCTGGCGCGGGAGTGGGCGCAGCGGTGACTAAACCCGGGCTGGGTTTGGTGGTGGTAGTGAGAGCAGTTAGGGGCACTACCCATTTTGGCCAAGGGTCACACAGCATTTACATCACAATTGCACCAGAGTCTTAAAATGTCTGGCCCTCTCCCTCCCCACCACCCGCGGCCGTGTCCCGACAGAGAATGTTCTAACGCTGGGGGCGGCTGCGGATGAAGTGCTGGGGGAGAAAAGGAGCAGGCCAAGGGCGATGGTGGCGTAGAGCTGCCTCGTAGAGGCAGCATGAGCTGAGAGGGTGATAGGAGGAGGCGCTGGACAGCATGGAGGACTTTCTGCTCTCCAATGGATACCAGCTGGGCAAGACCATTGGGGAAGGGACCTACTCAAAAGTCAAAGAAGCATTTTCCAAAAAACACCAAAGAAAAGTGGCAATTAAAATTATAGACAAGATGGGAGGGCCAGAAGGTGAGCCAGGGCCCCTTTGGCGGGAGGGCAGGCTGGCTGAGGGTGGGTGCTTCCTCCAATTAGATCATTTAATCATTCCCTGCTCCCACTGGTCTGGAACTAAGCAAGCTCCCGTGGCAGCTCTGGAGTGGGTCAGTGGGGAACAGAGCGGTTCTAAGAGTTCAGGAACATTACATCCCCCAAAATACAAGATTAAAGTGGCAGGAGGTGAAGGATCCTCAGAGGCAAAACCTGAGCCGGGCTTTCGCTTCTGGCAGGGGAACAGTCTCTGAGACAGAGACTGCCTGAGGCCACAGCCAGGACTAGCAGAGAAAAGGGGCTGGTGCCAAGGCCGATGGAGATGGGGAAGAGAGGGCTCATGGAAAAAATTGTGGGTCAGGGGACAGCGGTGGGAGAAACTGGCTGATCACCCTTTGGGCAAATCAGGCCTTATAACTTGAGATTCTGTGGATTTGTTGAAAAGTCCCCAAAGCACCTTGATATCCAGTCTCACAGACTGCTCACAACAGTCCACAAGTTGGTGGGGGGGTGGTTTCTTTGAAAGATAGGTTAGCGACAAAAATAACAGAAGTGAATATTCTTTGCAATATCCAAGCAGCTAGACACATTTAAGACCATTAAGGGAGCCAAGAAATAAGACCCAGACAAGGTAGGCAGGACAGAAGTTGGAAGGCAGGAGACAGGTGTGAGGAGGTGCCCATCTCTACTCCCCTTACTTCCTCAGAGTTTATCCAGAGATTCCTGCCTCGGGAGCTCCAAATAGTCCGTACCCTGGACCACAAGAACATCGTCCAGGTGTATGAGATGCTGGAGTCTGCCGATGGGAAAATCTACCTGGTAATGGAACTGGCCGAGGGAGGGGATGTCTTTGACTGCGTGCTGAATGGGGGACCACTGCCCGAGAGCCGAGCCAAGGCCCTCTTCTGTCAGATGGTTGAGGCCATCCGCTACTGCCATGGCTGTGGTGTGGCCCACCGGGACCTCAAATGCGAGAACGCCTTGTTGCAGGGCTTCAACCTGAAGCTGACTGACTTTGGCTTTGCCAAGGTGTTGCCCAAGTCGCACCGGGAGCTGAGCCAGACCTTCTGTGGCAGCACAGCCTATGCCGCCCCTGAGGTGCTGCAGGGCATTCCCCACGATAGCAAGAAAGGTGACGTCTGGAGCATGGGTGTGGTCCTATATGTCATGCTCTGTGCCAGCCTACCTTTTGATGACACAGACATCCCCAAGATGCTGTGGGAGCAGCAGAAGGGCGTGTCCTTCCCCACTCATCTGAGCATCTCGGCCGAATGCCAGGACCTGCTCAAGAGGCTCCTGGAACCCGACATGATCCTCCGGCCTTCAATTGAAGAAGTTAGTTGGCATCCATGGCTAGCAAGCACTTGATCAAAGCAATGGCAAGTGCTCCCCAATAAAGTAGGGGGAGAAAGCAAACTCAAAAACCCGCTTCTAAAATGGTGATATATATTTTACGCTTTAAGTTTACTCATCCTGAAACTTACATACATCCTCCCCAGCCTTACTACTCTTTCCATGTAGAGGTCTTCATGGAACCCAAGGGCCTCATTCAGACTTCCTTTTTTCTTCCCCTCTGAGACAGAGTCTTGCTCTATCGCCTAGGCTAGAGTACAGTGGCACAATTTCAGCTCACTGCAACTCCTCCTCCCAGGTTCAAGCGATTCTCCTTCCTCACCCTCTCTAGTCATTGGGTGCCTACCACCACGTCAGGCTATTTTTGTATTTTTAGTAGAGACAGGGTTTCACCATGTTGGCCAGGCTGGTCTCAAACTCCTGACCTTAAGTGATCCACCTGCCTTGGCCTCCCAAAGTGCTGGGATTACAGGTGTGAGCCACCGCACCTTGCCTGACAAGTGATTTTTCATACTAAAGTTAATTTAAAAAGACCCCAGAATCAAATACACACGGGGAGGAACGGAGAAAAATGACTAAGAGCAACTGAAACCATTGTTGTTGCAACTTCCTTTCCAAATAAAAGCAGAGAGGCATTGGGAGTGCAGAGATGGCCTCTCGACTCCTTGTCCTGGTGAGAGGCCTGCTGGGAGTCCTGCCCCTTTTTCATCCCAAAGGCAAAGCTGAATCTGGGATGAGGACAAGGGACCTCCTCTGGACCCAGGTTACCCCCCTACTCTGCCTCTGGCTCCAAGTGGGAAGCCAGTCCTGCCCTGGCCCAGTGCAGCTGCCAAGGGGACAAAAACAGACCCCCAGACACCTTTCAGCTTCGGCTGAATCACTTTAATGCTGTTAACGGCAAGTCTGTAAAAGGTTCAGGACAAAGTTCTTTTTTCTTTCTTTTTTAATTATAAAACTAACAGCTGTTAGAATCTTTTTTTCTTTTCTGTTTTTTTGTTGTTGTTGTTGTTTTTTTCCCAGCTACAAAATACTCTGGGGAGATGCATTATAATTTAAAATATATAATATTGCACAAACAACCAAAAGGTTAATTAAACTAAAGGAGTAATTACAAAGAGAAAAACCCGATCCCATCAAAAACAAGATTCAGCATTCTCTCCATCCCACCCCCTCACTGATGGTTTGAAGTGGAAGTGACCCCACTCTTGGTATCCCTGACCACAATCCATTTCACTCACTGGTGAGCACAGCAGATGAGGTCCAAGAATCACCAGAGCAGCATCGTGAAGCACCAGGCTCTCCAGAGATTCCTGCAGCCCCTCATTCCCCCAGAGGTGCAGCTTTACCAGAGTGGAGGGTCAGAGCACAAAGGCTGGGTCTGTCTTCAGGAAGAAGAGCTTTTGCAGAAGCCTGATGAGAGTTTCAAGTTCAGCCCCAGGATAGCCCTTCCAGAAGCAGAAGGGCCAAGGCGGAGAAGCTAGGCTTACCAGAGTTGTTAAGTACTCGGCTCTGATCACCGCTCTGTACCGCTGGTAGCTATTTTGTGTCCTAAGCTACAGGGGAGTTGAGGTGGGTAGCTGGTTGGACAAGGTATCCTGCCAGGCAACACACAGAAGGGCCTGAAGTGACCCCCTCCCTTCTTGGGGAGGGGAAGAAACGCAAGAGGGAACTCCTGCAGGTGGCACAGCTGGGCTAAGGACTTGGGTGCATCTGACATGAAGCCCTGGGAAGGCATGGGGACAGACCAGCGTGGGCTGGAGGAAAGGAAGGAGGTGGGTCAGGGTTTGGTCTCTGGATTCTGGACTCCAAAGGAGTCTTTCCAGGAATGGAAAATGCCTGGGAGGGGGAGATTCCCAAGAGAGGCAAATTTCCCAGAGATAAGAGCCTCTTGCCCACTGGGATAGGAACCAAAATGTGTTCGCTGTCCCTGTTTAGCCAAGGGCAGGTGGCATGGCCCTCCCTGCCTGCTTATGGGTGGACAGAGTGTGTGGTCTCGGCTTCCTCTGAGAGACTGGTGGTTTAGCTTCTGTCTACACAGGGAGAAGGGCTAGAACTGTCCCTTGGGACTTTCCAGCAGGAGTGTCCAGGAACAGTGGGTGTTCAGCAGAAAAACGTAGGCTCTTTTGGTGAAGGGGATAGGTTTCCTCTCTCGGGTCATCCTATTGTTGGCACAAGTCAGAGTTCCTGGATTTATAGAGCCCCTTCCCAGGCATGAGCAGAGGCCCAGAGGGCCAGCAGGGAGCCACCACAGCATCTGTGCCCAGAGCTCTGGTTGGCAGAGGAGATTTGGGGGGACATTCTCAGTCAGAGTCTTCCAGGGCTGGGCTGAGACGAGTGAGAGAGGTGAGAGATGCCATGGGTGGGGAGCTGCTCCCTCCAGTTCCCCTCATTCCCAGTCCTCCCACTCTACATCTTCCAGCTGCAAATAGGAGGGGATAATGGAAATCACAAACACACAGTTATTCCTGAGTCAGGCCCAGACCTAACCTCCCCTTGCTGAGCAGAGCTGCCTCCCATCCCCCACCCCGGCCATACTCTGCCCCCACTGAGAGTGAACCCCAAGTCTTAAGGAATGTGTCTGAGGGGTGGGTTTGCTCTGATTATTTCAGACCTAAAGGAAATGTTTCCACCAGCCAACACCAGACACCACAAGGTGATGGCTGTCTACAGGAACCAAGTCAGTCCCAGTCCCTTACGGAGAATTTGCCTCCTGCTGAGCAGAGAATGCCATGGCTCTGAGACGCAGAGAACTTAGGAGGCCTGAGCAGATACTCGGCCTTGAACACAAAAGACCAGTGTGATCCAGGGCAAGTTACTTAACCTCTGGGTGAATGGGGGGCCACTGCCTAAGTGGCACTGTGGTCAAAAGCAGAGGTGGCAGTGGACTACAGGTGCTCACAAGGTCTTCACTAGGGGCGCCAACCCCCTAATTCCCAGCTCAAGTCTTCCCACGGAACCCGTTCTTGCTTTGTTCCTACTCTGGGCCTGCTGTCGGCTGAGCCCTGCTAAAGCAGGTTCTACAGTGTTCAGGTGTACTGCATGTCAGGTTTCAAAGAGGGCTGCAAAGACACAAAAAGCCAGCAAGCCCCTATGGCCTGACAGGGCACTATGGACCTTCTCTGTCCTGGGTATAGTGAGGTAGTCACAAGTCCAAAATACTCCTGAGTAGGTAAAATAATGCCCCAAGGTTTTAGTTTCGCATCATGAAAAACGAGGCCTTTCACATGTCTCTAATCTGTCCACCTCTTTCCAGCCTAGGTTCATGAGTACATGATGGAAGGACTCACTTGGTTTTTGTGTGACAGTGGAAGTAATGCTGACATGAATCAGGTATCTGGGCTGCAGCCATAGTTCTGTCACTTATTAGCTGGGAGAGCTTTAGACTGTTGCACTCTCTCAATCTAAATAAGCCACTTTTGATTCTGAGAGGTAGTAAAGAATAACAGTACTAAGGCCTCTTTGAGCTTAATAACTGTAATGAATTTTGTGGCATTTATCACGAATGTCTCCTGAGTGCCACGTCTCACGCACTAGCCGTACGGTGTCTACATGGATCACCTCATTACAACTTATATGCCAGGTTTTATAATGATCAAATCCATGTTTTAGATTAGGAACCAGAGACTCAGGTTAAGTAACATGGCCTTGATCACACTGGTCTTTTGTCTCCAAGGCCAAGTATATGCTCAGGCCTCATACCTGGGGACCACAAGTCAGAGGGTCTGGCAGGGTTTGATATCTGTTTTCTCTCTCTCTTTTTTTTTTTTTTCAAAGATAGAAATGAGGTCTCACTATATTGGCCAGGCTGGTCTTGAACTTCTGGCCTCAAGCGATCCTCCCATCTTAGCCTCCCAAAGTGCTGGGATTATGGATGTGAGCCACCGTGCCCAGCATGTCATCTGTTTTCTTAAGCAGTTTCTCAGGCAATTTTGATACAGAGCTCAGGTCAAGAACCCTCCCCTCTTATCACCCTGGAAATGAGGGGAAGTGGAGCCTGCTGATGACCACTGTTGTGGGACTGAGCAGAAAGCTCCAGCTTCTTTCCCACAACATGCCACCTCAGACAGGAGCAAGAACCCTCCTGAACGGACAGCTGGGCTGGCTGGGGACAGTTCTCACACCCAGTACCACTAGGCTCACTTCCCTCTGACCCACCAGGCCCACTCACCTCCCCAGAGGCATCCACTTTGGAAAGTGCCATCTGCACTTCCTCTTCGGTCATGTCCAAGTCAAAGTCTTTCTCCCAGTCCTCACTGATGTCTGTGCTTGAGCCTGGAACCATAAGCCACAGTGTGAAAGGCAGGAGGAGGCAGGGAAGAGACACCTGAAGAGGGTGTAGCTGGGAAGAGAGCACGCTTTAAAAGGTCTCGCAAATACACAAGTCTTTACATTCTGTGTTGACTCTGGCCCAGTGATCCCACTTTTCTGTTTTGTTTCTTCAGATGGAGTCTCACTCTGTAGCCCAGGCTGGAGTACAGTGGTGTGATCTCAGCTCACTGCAACCTCTGCTTTCCAGGTTCAAGTGATTCTCCTGCCTCAGCTTCCCACGTAGCTGGAACTACAGGCATGCGCCACCACGCCCAGCTTATTTTTGTATTTTTAGTAGAGACGGGGTTTTATCCTGTTGGCCAGGCTGGTCTTGAACTCCTGACCACAAGTGATCGGCCCGCCTCAGCCTCCCAAAGTGTTAGTATTACAGGTGTGAGCCACCACGTTCGGCCCCCACTGTCAAGAATCTATTCTAGGCCGGGCATGGTGGCTCACACCTGTAATCCCAGCACTTTGGGAGACCGAGGTGGGTGGATCACTTGAGGCCAGGAGTTGGAGACCAGCTTGGCCAACATGGTGAAACCCCGAATCAAAAAAAAGAAAGAAAGAAAAAATAATAATCTATTCTAAGGAAAAATCCTGAATTCAGTCAGAAATTTAGCCAAGAGTGTTCACTGCAGTGCTGTCATAGTGATGGAAACCTAGGAACAATCTGAAAGTCCACTGACAGGGAATTAGACAAGTAAATAGTGAGTCACATGATGGAACACTGTAGGCTGTTAGAGGTTAGGGTGGAGAGGAACTTCACATCCATA